GAAGGCAAGGCGAAATCCGCCGACGCAATCGGTATAAAGGTCTGTTGGGATTAAGCAGCCTATGTGCACCCCGTGGTGCGATTGCAAGTAGGTTTTTGGCTTCAATCAAGCGTCTTGCTATATAAATGTGTAATACTGACACTCCTCCAGGTATGGGTTGTACCAATGCCGGAATAGAATCGTCTCGGAGGACCTTCTGCTGGAGGACCTGTGCTCGTTTGTACATGTTTTTTTTTTTTGTTTTTTCGCATTTCTGAAGATGTTCCAGTGGAAAGATTATTTAACTCGCCCCACTGGGATGGACAACGAAAGCAAGGCTGCTCCAACAATATGGAAAGATCATATTCAGAAAGATCTGTCTGCTCTTGGTGTGAATAACTGCTGAAACTTCACTCAACCCAAACCGCAATTATAGTCATAAAAATATAATGGTGCGCCAATTGTTTCGTGAAGCCGGGTAATTCCAAGGAAGTGATTAACTTTTTCTTCCTCTGCTTTCAGAATTTACATTAGCCAGTAGCGTCTCACGAGATGGCTCATCGTTCCATCGTCTACGGTAGTCTTCGTTCCCTTGTGTTAAAGCTCCATAAATCGTTCGTAAGCCCTTTCCAAAGCGCCTACACTTCCGACGTTGAGCCATGCTGATAAAGCCCAATCAGTTCATGGACGATGGACGGTTCATACTTAGGTTCCAATCGTTGGGTATACTTTCATTTGAACAAGCAGGTGTTTGGTGATGGGCTCTCTTTGATGGCCAAGAGCGGGTATGTACCACTGTTGCTTCAATATAATGGGACAAGTCGCTGTTGGCTACTTGGCGACTACGCACTTCATAATCAAACTGGCTTCGAGTTTTCATATTCTCCAAAGATCCAAGTACAGTGTTGGACTTCCTTGGACTGGAGTCGTGTCCTTTAGACATTAAGCTAAATTTGGGCTGTGATATGATAACTTTTCCTTTTTTTTGCCTAAAACGCATTTTTTAAGAGTCCTTTCGTCAAGGTATGGCATGAAACATATTTATATATATATTCAATTCATTTTGAATTAAGGCACATTTTTATATGAATAAACCTATAAAGCCATGTAAAGTGACTTTCGCTCAAATGCAGGTTCGTTGCTTAAGTCTTTCGTTTTTCCTTCAGTGAGCACGTAAAAACCGTTAAAAAACCCACATAAAGATGCAAACACCTACGAATTGTGTACTTTTACGCGTAGCAAATGCGCAGATTGAGCAACAATAAATACAACTACAACTATGTAAATATATGCGAATATGTGAGGGTATACACAGTAGCAACTTCGTTAGTCAACTATCAACTGTGCGTAATGGTGCATAAATTTTCGAGTGTCCAAAAGAAGGTGTATAATTTTATTTATTGTTGTTGGGCTGCCTGCGCAATGTAGCTCATGAATGCCCACAATCACTCGTGAAGTGTGTCAAGTGACAGGCTTGAGGATAGACAAACAGACAAAAGAAAGAGAATAATGCTGACTTTTGAAGACAGTGCACTTGTTTCCAGAGATGATTTTTATGGAAAATGGTTAGTAGGTAAGGAAGTTAACGAACGTATAGAAAAGTGACGGTAGTAGTGAGTGCAGCTCTAGGTGTAGTTGTTGTTGTTGTAAGCGTAGCTCCAGGTGTAGTTGCAAGTGTAATTTTAGTTCTTGCCGTATTTGTGGTTGTAGTTGTCAGTGTAGTTGTAGTTGCAGTTATAGTTGTTGTTGTAGTTGCAGTTGTCATTGAAGTTGTTATTGCAATTGTAAATGCAGTTGTCGTATTAGCTGTGGTTGCCATTTATGTTGCAGGTGTAGTTGTAGTTGTGGTTGTAGTTGTAGTTGTGGTTCCAAGTGTAAGCTTAGCTCATTTTTTTGCACTTCTCGTTGTAGTTGTTATTGAATTTGCAGGACTCGCAGTAATTGCTTTTAATGTAAGTGTAGTTGTTGTTGTAACTTTAGTTACACTCATAGTATTAATTTACGTATATCCGCAACTAAAATAGCATTTACAACTACATGAGTAACAACAACTACAGCGACAACAATATAAACAAAAAACATATGAAACTACAACAAAAACTACAAAATTAGCAATAAAAGGACAACAGTTTCGAAAAACACCAATCGCTACTAACAACAACGGCAGAAACAGCTTCAGCAGAAGCAACAAGCGCAACATGAAGGCAACGCAACAACAAAAACAAATAAAAACTCTAAAGAGCAAGAGCAAAACAATAATAAACAAATGACAACAACACAATTGGACTACAGTAGTATTACTCAAAGCAACAATAACATATCAGTCATCGAAGCGAAGTTATAAAAAAAAAAAACAAAATAACAAAAAAACTACAACAACAAAAACATTGACAACTGTCATCGTTTGTCAGTTTATAAATCACTTTTTCGCATTTGCGGCAACAAACGAAAGGCTTGCGTGATACGTTTACCCACATACACATACACACGCATATATATATGTATGTTGATATATTTGCTGGACGCACACGCCTCATGCATAATTCATGTCATTCCAAGGCGCGTGTGCTGACGACTTTTTTACTCATTTATTCACGCGCGTTTCGTTTTGCACTTGCATATACATATATACATATATACGTATATGTATGTAGATGTGCAATTTTAAGTGGCAATGTGCTATCCTTGTGCTTTGCTGATGCCATAAACATACACCTACCGACACATACACACACACACACATATGCCTAAATGTATTTGCAATTTGACAGCTCTGTTGACTCGCAAAGCGGCCAGCTGTTGTATCTGATTCATTCATCACTTCTTTTTCGAGTACCCCGAGGCATTGTTAGAGTTTGAGGGGGGGAAAATAGATAAATAAAACGAGTGTGGATGAGGTACTGTGGAGACAGTCAAGGAAAATTTGTAAAAATTGTAATTTTAACACATTAATATTCCTTTGTTCAGATATTCGCACGCAAAACACTTGAGCTCATTCCTTTTATTTTTAATAATTCATTAACTAAATTAAGCGCTTTGCTCTGACTGATTGACTCTTTTATATTTAGTATTATTTTTTTTTAAACATGTAACATATGAAACCGTAAATTCACTATGAGTCGAAATATCAAAGTGGCGGAAGAAAAAGAGGTGGATTCATCAATAGCACTGAAAACCATCGTGATCCAGTTTATTTTATTTTATTTTATTTTATTTTAAGTTTCTGTTAATTTTTATATTTTAAAATCATATTTTATTTTAATTTCTTTTGTACAAACTAATTTTTCTTATTTCGTTTTAAATTTATTTTGATTAATTAAATATTACACTATTTTTCTAATTTTAGCTTGGGATATTCAATTCAATTTAATGTTTTTAGTTTATTTTATTTAATTTTACTCTATTTTATTTGATTTTAATATTTAATTAATATAAGATTTTGTAACATTTATTCTAATTTAGTTTTTATTTATCCAATTTTATTTATTTTAAATTATTTTTATTTAAGTTTTCACTTAATTTCAGCTTAATTACTTTTATTTTATTTCATCTTATTTTATTATATTTTAATTGATTTATTTTTTTTTAAATTTTTTTAATTATAACTGTATTTATTTTAATTTTATTTTATTTTATTTTATTTTATTTTATTTTATTTTATTTTATTTTATTTTATTTTATTTTATTTTATTTTATTTTATTTTATTTTATTTTAGAATATGTTATTTTACTATAACTGATTTTAATTTTATATGTATTTTATTTTCTAATTTTATTTTATTTAAATTTATTTATTTTCTGTTTTATTTTATGTTTATTTATTTTGCATCATATTTAATATTAATTTGTTTTATGTTATTTTATCCTTATTAAATTTTATTTTTTCATATTTTTATTATAATTGTTTTTTTATTTTATTACATTTTATTAAAATAAATGATTTTATTTTAATTTAATTTATTTTAATTTTTTAGTTATTTAAAATATTATTAGTTGTTAGTTTTAATTTGTTTCATTTTATTTAATCGCAGTTAATTTTATTAATCTATTCATAATTATTTTTTTATTTATTTTATTTTAAATTAATTTAATTAAAATTATTTTTTATTCAAATTATATTATATAATATATTATGTTATCAAAATTATTTTTTATTACATGTTATCTAATTTTATTTGTTTATTTACTTTAATTTGACATAATTTAATTTATTTTAAAGTACGGGTTTTTCATTTTTTCATCACATTAGTTTTTTTTCTTATATTTTAAATTATTTTATTTTATTTTTTTTGTTTGGGTTTGTCTCATCTCATATTTTTTTTTATTATTTACACTTTTATTATTATTATTTTTCAATTATATTATATTTTTTTCTGTTTTATTTTATTTCCTTTTTTTATTTTATGTTGTTAAATTTAATTCCTTTTATTTTTTATCTTAATTTATTTTATGCTTTTTTTTATTATCTTATTTCATTTTTTTGTTCCTTTATTTTAATTTACTTTTACATAAATTATTTTAATTTGGTTTAAATTAATTAAATTTTATTTATATTTTTTGCATCACAGTTGATTTTATTAATTTTATTTTTTGTGCCTTAATAATTTAATTCTTTTATTTTAATTAACTTTTTTTCTTATTTATTTTATTTAATTTTATTTCAATATACATAATTTAATTTTTTTCTCTATTTACTTGTATGTGATTTGTTTTTTATTCAATATTACTTAAATTAAAGTAGTTTGATTCGAGTTATTTTAGTTTAATTTTTGTTAATTTTATTCAAATTTCGTTTTTCTTCGTTTCTTGACATTTCTTAAATTAATTAATTAATTTATTTTTATTATTTTGTTTTGAAAATTAATTGTTTTAATTTCCATTATTTTATTTCATTCTTAATTTATTCTATTTTATTTTCTATTAATTAAATTTTAATTTTCATCCATCCGTGACACTAAATGTAAATATACATTTTTACACATTAATTTATTCCCATAATTTATTTCACACATCACACCTACCTTCTGATCACCGAATCGCATTTGGCGTCTCGCATTTCGACTGACGTTCATGCGACACAAAAACATACGATGTTCCCCTTCCAGACTGGAGATCGCCGCTGCTGCCGCCGCAGCTGCTGACGCCGCACTTGCGTGCTGACTGTGGCCCGGCTGTGGTGGCACGTTACGATTAAGCTCAGCTTGTATGGTTGCGTGATCTTGTTTGTCAATGATGTCGTAAACAGAATCGCCGTGTATGAGGAGATCTTCCTGTGTGGCGATGGGATTGGTAATTGATTGTTGTTGTTGTTGGAATCATTTTGTTGTTGTTGTTGTTTAATAATGTAGTAATCATGAAAGTAAATGCAGATGAAGAAATTAAATTATTATTTTACCTGTATAATGGGGATATAGAGGATAAATGTGACTAAGAGGAAACCATCTACCATAGTGAAGAAAGTCTTGGGGTGTAGTGGTCTGGCGCACACAAAGAAGACTTAAAGAGGCATAACCTTAGAAGGCCTTACCTAGGGAAGACCCAATTGACCCAAGTAAGGCAAGATTGGGAGAGACATTACAACCTTCTGAAGACAAATGTGTAAAGCGACGAAAATGGAACCAAACTTTCTCTTAAGAAAAATTTCAGCGAGTTCTGTACATAACAGTGGATACCTTCAGTAGCCAGATTATGGTTAATTGGAATGCAGTGGGAGTTTCTGAGTTTAATTACGGATACTAAATTCCCAGGCAGCTCAGATAATCATGCTGCTGAGTCTGCACTAGATCAGAAAGCTGAGATAGAGCCCAGAGTAATAGAAAACAATATGCGTAAGGTATGTCGATGGGGCCTGACGGAATATATCTAGCTTAACTATCGATGTTTTCAAGTCACTTAATGGTCTGGTAACTTGAGAGCTTACAAGAAGACCTGAATTAGTCCATTTACCAACGCGCTTAACAATTGGAGCTGTGTCTATTCACTTTGTGGGTGATTTTGTAGAAGGATTTTAATCTGCGGACTTATAAAATTCAACTTGTGCAAGAAATTAAAACCGAATGACCATCTAGCGCGTCGTACGTTCGGTGAATGAGCCTGAAACAAGATGGCTAACGAGACTAAAAATATTCATTTTTGGTTGAGAGGATATTCCGCAAGACATTGATGAAATGCCTTTAAATCCCCTAAATGTCGCTGTGCTCTATGGGCTGAGGGAATTATTGGTCAATATTTCTTTAAAAATGAAGCTGGCCGTAATTTAACGGTCAATGGGGAGCATCTTAGACCTATAAATTAAGACCTTTTCCTGCCTGAGTTGGAAGATGTTGCTGTGGATCTCCTTTGATTTCAACAATGCGGCGTTAGATGCCATACAGCCAACGAAACACCCAATTAATTGAAGAAAATTTATGGTGAGCACATTATCTCGCACCGTTGGCCTGTGGTGTGGCCTCCATAATCGTGCTATTTATGGGTTTAGAACGCTAAAAATTGCATGGTATTCGTCACAGCCTACACTATTAGCTGTAAAAAAAAAGGTATCACTTATGAAAATACCACAATTACAACTTTTTTAATCTTGTGCACAAAACAGAAAAGCATTGCGTTCAACGTTCTTGCGCCCGCTTATCAGTCTCCTCAGCACATTGTCTCTCAGAGGCCATTTCTGCGGAACGATAACGAATTTGACTCTGAAATTTTGTGGAAATATTTTTGAATATATTTCTAATCGAATGAGATAAGTTTCAAAAAATCGATTTTTTTGACCCTCTAAACCAGGTTCCCCCCTTAACACCGCTGGATGTTATATGAAATCGCTTGTCTATGCAGATAAACTCGAGGGGATTGACGGCTTGGTAGAGAATATTGGCACATTATTCAGCCTACGATCGCAATTGCTGCAAAAAGCGGCCAAAAAACACCCTTTATTCACAGTTTTTTACATAAATGATGTTCCGTTTTGTAAATTTTAAAATTCCAATAAATCTACGCAAATGGAAACTGTTTTGTATGCTCAAAAATAATTATCCGAATTTCCTCAAACGTCAATGAAAAATATTTCATTTTTCTGCGAAAAAATGATTCAGAAAAAATATGAAAATTTTAAACAGAAAAAAAAAATTTTTATTGTTATTAAAAATCTGTTGTTTGCCTATTTTTCAAGTATATTAATTAAAATAATTATGACTTTCTAATATCGAATTACTCCCAGTGCTGATGTGAGCCACAGACGTCATCAAGCAAAAGCTGACGGCATAAAATTTCCCATCGAATCGATGCGCAATGTAGGCAATACATACATATGAGTGTATGTAACCATATACATGTATGTGTGTGTACTTGCGGCAATGCGTTCCTGTAAGCAGCTGCAAATGGGCGGTGAATCATTTAATGATATTCGAAACAAAAGTTAAATACAAATAAAAACAAAACGAAGCGAACAGTATAATTGACAATAACAATAACAGCAGTAATAATAGTAAAAAAAAATAATAATAATTTTGTTGTCAATTATTAAGTTGTCGATAGTTGTAGCTACCACTGCCACTGCATTCACAACTGTTGTTGTTGCTGTTGTTGCTGCTGCTTGCCATAAACTAATGACGACATTTTACTATAATTAGCCACCAAACACAACGCCAATGCTGCTTAGCTCCGTTGGAGGTTTCAATAAAAGCCCGTGTATGTAATAACAACAAGTATGACAACTAAAGAAATTGCTAAAAATGTCAGCATAAAAACAACGCAAACCGCTAGGAAAAAAATTATCTCCACCTCAAGCATGTAAATTATTTGTAAAGAAAATAAAAGCGAAAAAAATTTTCTCCTTTTTATTGTAGGTGTGTGTGTGCGTGCTTTTTTTTGTTGCATGAGAATCGCGCACAGTGTTCAAGGTGTAACCAAAAATGCATATAAATTCACAAAAATATTTTTATTAATTTTTTTTTAAATTTTATTTTATACTAAATTAGCAGAGCCGTTCAAACGTTGTTGGGTCTTTCTGTATTTTTTTTTTTCAATTTTTTTTAAAGTTATATTGCAGTAAAAGATAAAAAACCATTATATAATATAAAATTAATCTAATATATAATAATAAGTCCAACACGAATACCCTCCACCCGAACAACTGACACGAGAGGCGACAACCGCGTAACGTACGTAGTAGTGCCGACTCACGATTGGGAAGCGTTTTTTAAGCATCGAGATTTCTGTTCAGACAGAAAAAATAACACACAACAGTCGAGTGGTTAGCATTTTTAGTGCTACTTCGAGCAGCATCCAAAGCCCGCCGAGTGTATATGTGACATAAAATTACTACAAAGGGAAGGCGGTGCTTGGACAAAAATCGTTTCAGTAGTTATTCCTCGCCAGTTATATATATGTATGTATAACCATGGAAAAGCTAATGCATCCCCCAAGAGTTGAACCGTATTTAGACGAAGGTCAAAAGTTTTCACTTCGATAAGAAGGTGTAAGCTGCTACAGTTGTATTCACTAACCGCTGTTGGCACGTCTCTAGCTAAGCTAAGACTTTAGAGTTCGTTGTGGACATAGTTTCACAATAGTTCAGGTTGCTTAAATTGAGATCTCACTATGAAAAAAGGTACCAAAGGGCACTGGATCAAGATATCCTGTGAACCGTGCCTACCTGAGGACCCTTAACTAGGCAGTTCTGGAACAAAGCTTACCTTTGAATTCTAATTTACGCGCTTGCCTTGCAGTCTAATTTCATCCACACGCATGGACTCAAAGAATGAATATTTTTATAACAAAAAAATAAAAAAAATAAAAATAAACCAGAAGAGTCCAGTTCTTCTTACAATGAGCCACAGGGGACCAGCTGCTCAACGAGCTCTAAACCGACAAGCTTAAAAACAGGAATTAAGCATCATCTGAGTGAAGAGGCTACAACTAACTTTAGGCTGAGCACCAAGAAAGCAACTACATTCACAGAAACAATGGAACAAAACGCCGGTTACAAAGCATAAAGAGTAAGGAGAAGCCACGAGTGAGCTTTCTGGCAGTATTTTTACTCGAGAATTACTAATTTACAGAGGTAATGACCCAATAACAGCTGTGTACGCGGACACGCATACAATGAAAGCCATCAATGAGTAAGAAGCAAAACAAAGAAGCTCCAGAAATATTGATTGTGCGAAGTTAGTTCTATCCAACCACCAGCTGTGTCTGCTTAAAAGCAAAGATCAGCTGAAATCGCTAGACCGAAAGCCCAAAATGCCAAGGATGTTGGGCAGTATAGATCATTTTCAGATGTAGCCTGAATACGTATTATTCTGCCATCCTGGAAGAGTTGAACATGAAGCCGAATAGAAATAAGCACTAGCTGTGCTGGCAAGCTAGACGCTATTCATGCAATTCGGGTCTGTCACTAGCCTGTGCAGGATGTAGGTTGACTCAAAATAATAGCACGCCATAAACAGAGGTCGGTCCAACGATATATACGTATATATATATATATATATATATGTATATATATACGTATATATATATATACATATATATATAGGTAATAAGCACTTTGTAATCACTGAAACGGTGGAGCTCCTCTTGCAAATTGGAGTTTTTCCAAGAAATGGAGGGACTTACAATCTATACTAAGCCTCCTCCAAGCGGTTGATGGTTCTTTATTAAAAGCTTTTGTGTTGACACACCCTGCCAAGCGGCGAGCGCAATTAGAAAATTTAACTTAATTTTTTATTTAAATTAATTTTTTATAACTTTTTGGATGTTGGGCGGACCAGGACTGAAACTCTGGCTTTTCGAATGACTTGCGAACCCTGCCCACCTGGTTGATTTTTATAAAGTTGGTACAGCAAAGCTCGGTGCCTGGTTGGTAGGCGTCGATCGTAAGTATAATCCATCTCAAGCGAAGGCAGGGGTTTTGATTCCAGCCACATCATTCCAGCTGAGCCAAATTTGCCAACCTAGTAAATGCCGTGTAGACTTGTGGAGTCACATTACAAATGATTGACTCTATTGAAAGGGTGATGAGACCAATTATGGTCTTTACGAAAGACAAATCATGAGCTATCAATCGACGCAAATGTTATCAATCCCCTAACTACGGTGAATAAATTAATTGAGTGAGGCGGCTGCAGATCTGGAGGAGTCTACAAGTGATGTTGAAAGCATAGGACTAGGTTGGTAATCTTCGATTGTGAAGAAGTAGAGAGGCCTACTTTACGATGATAATTGGACAATTCAGCAAGATGATGCTGCAGTTCACAGTGAAACTATAACTGAAGCGTCT